TCTCTCTCTCTCTCAGTGGTCATAGATCCGACAGGCATAAAGAAATGAATTATGCCAACAAGTTGAAGAAACTTGGAAATGTCTCCTCCCTGAGTCAAGCTTTCACCTGAAAATGCAACCCAGCAAGCACTTTAATTGCAGTCTTATGAGAACCTAAGCTGTACAAAATGCTGGCCAATAGAATGTAAAAGTGTATAAAATCAGGACCAAGTGTATTTTATTCCAGGAATGTAGTGTTAGTTCAACACATGAAAGATCATTACTATTATTTGCCACATTGACATGAATAATTATAAGAACCACATGATAATATCAATAGATGCGGAAAAGGCATTCGACAACATCAAACTCCTATTCCCGTTTAAGACACTGAAGGAGATAGGAATGGAAGGAAAATTCCTCAATATAATACAAACTATATATGAAAAACCAACAGAATTAAAGCTGTGCAAAGACTCAATCAATTGTGAGATAGTGAATATATAAGGAAAACCAAAATCCTTAAAATTGGCCCAATAGACAACGTCATGACAAAGGGTAATATTTGAAGTGGTCAAGGATTTTATTTTGCTTGAATCCATAATCAATACTCAGGAAAGTAAAAAAGATCTAATGGTGTGTTGTATTGGGCACACACTCCCGCACAAGATCTCATTAAAAGGTTGAAGAGTATTGATGTCACTTTGAGGGTTAAAATATGCCTTCCTCAAGCCATGGTGATTTTAATCACCTCATACACATGTGGAGGTTGGACAATGAAGAAGGAAGACCAGAGAAGATTTGATGCATTTGAATTATGGTGTTGGTGAAGATTTTGAAAGTACCACAAACAGCCAGAAGAACAAACCGATCTATCTGGGAAGAAGTACAGACAGAATGTTCCTCAGAAGGAAGGGTGGCAAGATTTTAGCTCAGGCACTTGGGACATGTAACCAGTAGAGACCAACCAGTCCCTGGAAATGGACATCATGTTTTATAAAGTTGAGGGCTAACAAAAAAACAAAGGAAAACCGGCAATGAGATGCATTGACACAGTGGCTGCAACAAGGGGTTCAAACATAACTGTGAGGATGGCGCAGGACCAGGCCGTGTTTTGTTCTGTTGTGCATAAAGCTGCTGAGTCAGGACCAACTTGATGGCACCTAACGACAACAACAATAACTGTGTGTTGTTTTAGAGAATACTTGTGTAATATATAGTAATTGTTACACAGCATGCAAAATAATACAACCTGTAATACCCTTTATCCTCTTGTCTTGTAAAACATTTTATAATCTAATCCTTCTCCTGCACTTGCAATTCCTCTATAGTTCCCACTTTTTATATACCTACACTTCCATCTAGGCTCTTAATAGCCCCCTGGAGTGGCAAAGGAGAGCTTGCTTCTCCTATTGTGTTGTCTATTTTGGAAGTCATAAAGTTGTCCGGCCCCAGTTACTCAGCTGTTTATTGCTGGAGTTTATTCCTCAAAATAATAATAGTTCAGCTCTCGATTTAACTGGGGCATACAGAGAAAAACAATTCACGGTGGGTCACCTGAATTTGGTAAGGTCAAAAAAGAGGGCAATCCAAAGATCCAGAAGTAAGCCATACTTTAGCCCCACTTGTTTTATCTGTTGTATAACAAGGCCCTGAAGCTATAGGTGAAAACACCTGTGTACATGAGACGCCCATTCGTTCCACTCCAACTCCCTAGCAGCCCGGGGTAGAAGCTAATGATTCACTAGCTTAATGGAATTGCAACATGGCTGTGTAGGATGGTGATGACATTACTCCACTCTGCTCCAGCTACCTGCATTCTTCAAGCACTTGTCCACGGCACACATTTCTCAAATTTCCTACCTGTATCCTCTATTTTCTCTCATCATTCTTGACTTACAGACTTTGATAAGGACTGAGCTCAGAGCAAAACCTGCCTCCAGGAAAACCATTTCCATTTAAGAAAAGCCAATCCTTTTATTTCCCTTGATTCCTTTTCCACCGGGAACAATCCAGTGAAAACAAACAAACAAAAAAAAGGTAAACCAGCAAACCAATGGCAATAGTAATTCTAAGAAGGAGAAATAACAAGGAGGTCGTTAACAGAACCCTATTTGTTCCAACTTGTTAAGAGGCTGGAGGGCAAAATGGTAGCGACATAGCTGGGGAGTGCAATGGGGGAGAAAGGCAAGTTCTCAGGTGAACCTGTTCATTCTGGTGAGTGCTAGCATGGTTGGGAGAAGAGATGCTCAGATTAGCGAGGGGAAATAGGCAAGAGTTGTGATCATGGGGAAGCTGAAACAGTGTACTGGTGGCATTTGGCATGAAAATACACACAAAAGGCACGGGGACATCAGGTATCCTGCATACGGAAAGGGAAAGTCACTGGTAAAATTGAGTAGAAATCAAAATCATTTTAGCTAGTACTTATAAAATAGGGACTGTTGGGTATATTTCATAGATAATTGTTTATTTGTTCTTCATAAATCTATGCAGTAACCGTTATTGTCATCACGCCTATTTTATCTACACTGAAACAGACCTAAGAGAGACGTAATAACTTGTACATGGTTGCACAGTTAATAAGCAGCAATGCAGGTATCTAGTCTCTGGGCCAGGCTGCTCCACTATCTCTCTGAGAGAGGTAAGAGGAGAGAAAGAGAAATGATACTACCCATGCGGGTGGCTCTCTGAGCAGATCTGTTCTACTTACGTTGTCTTGGGTCCCTGGTTGTGCCTGGATTTTCTCTTCAGGAGAGCGCTCAGGCCTAGAGCAGGTCACCCAGGACTTTTCACTCCTGCTTTATGAAGGAGAATGTCAAGCATTAGACAAACGAAATCATTTAATTGGAGGGTCAGAATTAGAACTTACTTTCTTGGTCCAATAAAATTCCTTCTATCTTGACAAGATTTCTGATGAGATTTGCAGACCAATCTTCACACTAATGCCATTTCCTTTGCTTAGAGGGAAAATAAAAGGATAGATGTTTCCAATTGATTGTGAAACTGGAAGATTTTAAAATCACTGTTCGCATACTAAGCTATTGTCCTATGATTTGATTTCCTTAGCGGAGAAAAAAAAAAAGTTTTTCCCTCTGATGGGCAAGTTGTGTTAGGGTCCTAGAGTGTCACCAGTCCCGTTCAACATGCCTCAGTATTACTCAGCAGTCAGAGTTAGAAAACATTTGAAAGACTGCTTTGTTTAGCCCTTATGAAATAGAGACATCCTTATAAATTATAATTCTTTAAAAAATAATTTTTGGGGAGCTCTTACAGATATCATAACATTCCACAGTTCAATCCCATGAAGCAGTGTTGCACAATTGCTACCACAATCATGAACTATCATCTTTGACGAGATTAATTGTGTGGCACACAATACTAAGTGAGATCCACATTCAGGACATCTCCGACATGTTCTCACAAAGCACTTTATTTTCAAGGACAGGACACTGCTTAGAGTCAGTCATGTATACAGTATTAGTTTGTCTTTGTAGATATGTCTCTTTACAAATACTCAATTTTTTTCACATGTGCTTATTTTCACGCCCATCTCACATGTTATCTTCTTGGGTGGCAAGGTTTGTTTCTCAATTGCAATGCCACCTTACCAAATGGGAAAGAGAGTGAGAGGGGAACTTTAGACCTTGAACCTAGTTTAAAATAAAACAATATGTCTGTCTGATTTATTGGTTCTAATGGAAACTGGTGAGAAACAAATCTTGCCATCCAGGCAAATAAAGCTTAGAGTTAAGTAAAATGAAACTCACATGGAAAAGAACAAAAGATTTGTAACGAAGCTTTGGGTACACCCAAATGAATATTGTCTGAATGGTTGTTGCTTAAGTAGTAACCTGTATATGAACATATGAAGAATGATCTGAAACAAGTGTCAGGTAGTATGGTGTCCACAGTACATGGAAATTCTCAACCTTAAACCTGCTTTCTCCAAAGTTGGGATGGCTTTTCCAGTTTGTGGGCAATCTCCAAGCTTTAGCTCTCTTGATGGTTAGAAATCAATGACCCAGAAAAAGTAGAGTTGATTATCAACAAAGCAAATGGGAGGGACTAAGTTTCAAGAGCGAGAGAGGGGGCTAATCACATGGGGGGAAAGGATTAATGAAAATTGGAAGGGTGACTTTCAGTCTTCAACAGTCACCCTGGACTGCTTTGATGAAGGATCAAAAAATCACGTGGTTTCTAATGGAGAGGAGAGCACATTTGGTCATCAGAAATCTGCCTTTAACCTTCTTCAAAGCCAAGTTTCTCGGCACTGCCTGGAAAAATAGCTACTTCAGAGAACAGCTGTGTCCTCCCCGGCTGTATTCCTTGGGAGAGCAGTGGGAGAAAGTCAAAGAAAGATAGTAAAAAGAGTGATACTAGGGAAGGGGGAAAATAAGGGAAACAACTATCTAAATCATAAAAATAGATGTAGAGAAGGGAAACAGGATAAAGCGGAAAGAAAGGCTAGAAAGACTGAGAGAGAGAGAGAGAGAGAGAGCTGATGTACAGCTGATTAGACTGAGTAGGGTTCTAAATTCTGTGGTTTACATGATGACAAGAAAGTCAAAGAAAGATAGTAAAAAGAGTGATACTAGGGAAGGGGGAAAATAAGGGAAACAACTATCTAAATCATAAAAATAGATGTAGAGAAG